TAGGGGTCCATGTAATTTCCACATACATAAGCTCTATTCCTATTTGGGTCAGTCCAAAATATGAGGTTAAAATCATATTTTTACTTAGTGAGATAAAAATTGATTGAATGTTGTGATCTCGTAAAATATGTGATTGTAATTAATTGTTAATTTTAACTTAAATTAAAATCTAGATTTAATCACAACCAAACAGGGCAATATCTAAAATGTTACATCAATAGAGTTATTTTCTGAGAAATGAAAATTCTTTTGCAAAATTGCAAAAATTCGGTCGCATAATAAAAAAAAAAAAAAAAATGGTTTGAGAAGATTATGTTATGATCCCGATTTGATATGTCACCTAAATTAAAAGAATCCTATTATAACATGAATATATCAAGATACTTTCACCCGCCTAAAATATAACCCTACATTATAGCAAATTAATTATTTTTTCTTTCAAGAATGAGTACATAAAAAATTGAACACTTTGCGAAATTGTGGCCAACTATTGAAGCACGTCAACGAAACGATGAAAATATATTATGACCTCTGTTGTAGGGAACGTGAACCCTCTCAAACTCTATGACTGAGTTAGGGATTTGTGGAGATGGTTCGTGACTAGTTAATATTTATTTGATCATTTGATATTGTGGCATTATATGCGCTTTGTGACCTCGGATTTATTGTTATGAAAATACGACAATTGATCTGCTATACTTTAAGATTGTGGCATTCTTACACGGAATGTTATTAATTTCCGCAATATGACCTTGGATAATGGTTTAACGAGATGCAATTGTGACTCTTGTCCATTTGTAGCGTTGACGATACGTAAAAATTGTAGAATAGTTTATTTGTATGTTGTGTGGAGATTTAACCTACTAATTATCAAGAAATACATTTAAAATTATTAAATAATTTTTATTTTATTTTTATTGCTTGGGTATAGATGCTTTATAACAATAATTTAGTAAATTATACAAAAGAAAATTAATTTGAAAGTATGATTTATCATTGAATGTTACCTTTACTTTCAAGCAATATCTCACTTCACTCACTATTATGATTATTTGAGTCTAACGTTTGTCTGAATTATTTATTAACAATCAGTGCAAGGATAATTAGACTAATTGATTTTGGTTCGATATTGGTTAAATATCTAAAATACAATATGCATTATTAAAATAAAAATTTAAATTGATTAGTTTAGTCTTAGCAAAATGAAATTCAGCAATCTACTTGAAATCAAAGTGCAAGAAATAACCTAGAAAGACAAAGGACCGTCGATAAAGAGGAGGGAGAGGACATAATATTTTGGAATTTCGAGCATATTCCCGATTTAATAAAGGGAGTTTGGGATGAATTTCCTTGCCTTTTCCTCAAGTAACCTAAAAAAATGGAAAAATAATATATAAAGGACGATGACATTAAGCTCCCGTTTGGCCCACATTACTTGGCATTATAATTTTTGAAGTGATTTTTTTTTTTTTTTAAGAATGGGTAATTGAAAAAGAAGGAAATTTTTTCGATTTACGTGTAATATTATTTTCGATTTACGTGAATATGTGGTTGAAAAGAAGAATAAGAAAATGTATTATTATTTTAATTGGGCCAAACGGGGGCTAAAGTCACCACGATCTTCCTATGAGCCAAGCATGTTTAGATTTGAATAAAAGATTTATTTATTTAATCTCATTCGATTTCACAGTTTCAAAGTATGAAATCAAGATTCAAGTCCACATCTATTTTTTATTTCTGTCTTTCGTGGAAGAGTTTCTTGAAAAAGTTACATACGTAGTTTTTTTTTTATAAGCTCGTTTAACCAGACAAAATACTTCCAAAAAATTAACAAAATATATTCTAAAACAACTTATTAATCTTAGAAATAGTTTTTGATTTTTCAAAAAACTCTATCAAATGGACCCTTATATAATACTTTTATTTGTTTCGATCACTACTTATCATCGAATTAATACAAGTAACTCAATGTGATTTTGCAGCATTAACGAATAATTGAAGAGAAACATGAACCTACCCAATCTAAATAATATAGATTTGCATGAGGAGAAGGGAATTCGAAATTTTTAAAGATGAAAATTTTAATAATCGTACTTTAAACGGTGATAGCGGGCATAAATTGGGGAGAATTAAAAAAAGGTCAACAAACCCAACTCTTAACTAACTAAGCCCCGCATTGCGTACCATGTCCCCTTTCCTTAATTTCATGTTACCCCATTTAAAAGCAAAATAATGCCTCCTTTGGTGCACATATTTTAATGCAAATGGCACCTTTGACTCACAATATTTCACAGCGTAAAATTTGATAAAACTCAAGATCTAATATGACTAAATCTCAAATGAGCAATTCGACTTTCAGGATTGATGCTTCAAATGAACATCTTACGATAGCATCTCAGATTTTGGACTGATGCTAATTTTTCCGGTCGAGTGGGCTGATTCTTTTCAATTTTTATAAGATTGAGTTACCAAGAGCATGTTAAGGAGACAACATTAAACTTGATTAGACTATACAACAACAGAATAAACAAGCCACAATTCTTGTCATAATGAAAAATTATAAATTTTCACATGCAAAGTTCTCAAAATGTCATAATGTCATACCCCACATCCTTCTAATTCCTCAATCTCCGCAAGACATTTCGCCTGAAGATTGAAAATCTATACCCTATATAAGGGCACCAAATCGACATTTCTTAGATATGCCAAGTGAAAAACCAAAAATGAATACATTTTTCAAACAATTTTCATGTTTCTTGTTCATATTGTTTTTTACTTGCTCTCAAATCGAAGCTAGAGATAGCAAGTTCTTTTACAAATATGTTCATCTTAGCAGTAACAACAACAAAAACTATGTGACGGTGCCCAGTACGGTCCAAAGTTCGGCTCCGGCTCCTGCCCCGGCTCCCCTCACTAGCCAAATCAGCAATGCCCCGGCACCCCTTGGCGCAGAAATTGGAGACGTGCCAACCCCGGCCCCGGCCCCAATCGAGAGTGATAATGCTTATTATGGTCTTTATGGCAAGGGCAGTTCTAGCGACCAATTTCCTTTCAAAACAACCACCACCACCACCACGGATGGTGGTGACGATGAATTTTCTACTGAAGAGTTCAAGATGGAAAATCTCAATGAGGTGAATTCAAGAGAATCCAACAATTACAACAATAATTTTTACCCGGATAATTACAACAACAATGGCTACTCGAAGTCATATACAAAAGGCAATACCGTTGATCCACAGGGAATGAGTGACACGAGATCGTTGGAGAATGGCAAGTATTATTATGACATAAACAGTGAGAATTACAATCCAAATAGTGGGTATGAACCAATGAGGGAAACCAGCAATGAGGAAGGCTATTACAATCAGAAGTCGAAATATGAGTTCGACTCGATGGAAGAATATGAGAAGAAGAATAACTATGCAGATGTTCAAACGGATCAATACATTCCTTGAAGCAGCAGATAACTTATAATGAATGTTGTGTTGTATACTTGAATTCCATGTGTTTTTGCTCATTTTTTGGCTTAGAAAATGCAAATCAAATGGAAGGAACACATACTATTTTGAATTTTCAGATAAAAGTGAAAAGATAATCAGTGGCCATGTAACTTTAGCCCTTTATCTTTATGGATCTTTATTTATTATCTTTTTTTTCCTTCTATTCATGATTGTGTTCTTCACTTCATTATCAAGTTTCCTTTTTGTGTGGAAAAAAAGAGGACAGATTTCACATTTACGATATTATAACATCCTTCAATATTATAGTATTTTGATAATGGATGTGTAGTTCATTGGCATGGAGATGTTCATGTGATTCAATTAGTAAGAAGCTACAAAATCAATTACGTCTTACTCTACAACTCTATTTTAGATTTAGTTAAAAATAATAATAATATTGATTTTACATGTAAAATTATTATTCAAATTTAAGATGCTTGCAAGCATTGTTAATATATGATGTTGTTGGGAAAAGAATTTTCACCGACACGCATCAAACGTAGTGGAAATGAGAAAAGCCAAAATGAGCAAGATGGAGAAAAACAATAATTACACGTGTTAGCAAACAGTTGATAATTATCGCACAAAAACACTTTTATTAGTTGAGAAAATTACAACAATACAATATTTTTCTCACTCTGACTACTTCTCGTTCACAAAATTAGAACGCTCCAACGTACATATCTCGTGAAATCTTACAAAAGTTCAAGATCGTTGACAAGTAATAAGTTAGTGAGAAATAATTTCGTCCTACGAGAAATAAACCTTAAACTGAATAATATTAACCGACCCGTTATTAAACTCGAATATGAGCCTAACACAAAAGAGTCGATCTATTTATGTCTAAATTATCCTAATTTTTTATCTAAGAATTCAATGAAATATGTATAAGAATGATGAAGTGTTAGAATTTCGAATCCATCTATTATCTTTCTATTTCCAATTCTCGACCAATTTATCTAGTGAAATACTGAAATTTATGTATTCTTGACAACCGATAATCAATTATATAATTCAATCTTTCCTGAGGTAAGTCAAACTTATTCTAAGGATATCCTTATTCCAAATTCATATGCAAAGTAACACATTTAATTCCATGATTATCTATATGATTTCATACACAATACATATTGTCCCTAACATCTATTGATCTATATGTCGAAATTACAAAGTTCTAAACCTATAATTAACCTCCTGGATACATAACAAGTAATTAATTACCTAAGTGGTGCATGAGCATTTAAATAATTTAACAAGATATACGTGATCAAACAAAAACACATGTATAAAATTAATTGATCTTTGAATTGAAAATAATCAACTAATGAGGTTTAGCCTAACATGTTTCTAATGATAATACAACAAGAGTTGTTGAAAATCATGACCCAAAATGTATAAATACAAGAAGGAGATGCAGAATTTATATCTTGCTATTGATGTTCAATTTCAAGCTTTGATTCCTCAGGTTCTTCAATCCTCTTACTAGAATTGTTCTCCTCTTCAAATTATGATAGATCGACCTCTCTTAATTGTTAGATTTGTACGATATGAATGGTACGAGAGATTTCATTTCACCGTTGACTCTTGTTATCTACTTAAGGAGGTTGGAATGAGTTCAAAAATCACATTCAAAGTGGTTTCCAAGAAGAAGTTGAATCAAAATAGGAAATAAAATAAATTATATCTTGTATAACCATGATATCACATGCTTATAATTTTTAGCATCTTCCAAATTCATTCAAGTTAGTCCCTATTTTTCCTCATTTGTTTCGCTTGGTCCTTTTCTCTTGCAATTTTCTTTCGTTGCCTTCTAATTTCATGCAATTGACTCCATATAATCTTCCATTATTCCTTCTTGGTCCGAATCAACTTTTGGACATTGGCAATTTGCTCCTTGAACTTTGAAAATTCTCATTTTAGTTGATTTTCGTTCATTTCTTTCAAATTCACTTCCAATCATCGAGTTTTACCTAAAAAATGACATATCAACGAGATTAATCTATAATTTATTAAAAGCTTTCCCAAATATCTATATTTAACGACATATACAAGTGTATAAAATACAATTATTAATACGCTGCACGTTCACATGTACATTTAATTTTTTGGGTTATTCTAGTCTAATTTTTTCTCTCTTTAGTAGCTAGCTCACCACGACAATCAATTTGTGTTCTTTGTCCTTGTACATTTAGCCCCCAATTCTCACATAACACTTTATTACTCGTTAATGAACCGTACACTTGCGGTG